AAATCAAAAAAGGATAATAGAACAAGGGTTCTATTATAAACAAGTTTCTCTTGGTTGAGATACGGGAAAAAGAAATTCATTGTAGAAAATGTAATATCTTGAAGAAACTGATGTAATATACACTAAATGTTCCAATATGTTTATATTTTGTTGTAATATTTGGAATAATTAGATCATAAAATATATATGTATAAGAATAAGCAAAATAAAGCATTGAAGAATAAAAAGAGATTTAGTTCTGCATTAAAGTTAAATAAGTATTTTTAATTAATATATTTGCATATATTTATATTTCGCTTTCTTTTCAAATCGTGCATATAAAAAATCGGAATGCACAATTATGCATTTCTGGGACATTGCACGAATAAAATAAAATCTTTATATATAACATAATATATTTCTGAGAAAAAAATGGTTCATTTAACTAAATTAATTTAGTTCGTCTTTATTTCTTTTGACGAATGAATTTAAATCAAACATATCTAACTTAAATACACACATATTCAACAAAAGAAATAAAAACAATTAAATTTAGTATTATAAACAAATTTAGTCAAATGAACAATTTTATTTTCAATGTATATAAAAGTGTTCATGGATTATTCTTGTGGAAAATAGCAATTACTTGCAGTAAGTTTTTTTGTATCCTTAAATTGTGCTATTTTTTGTCACGGATCATTTTTATTTTATTTTCATGTGACACGGTCGTGGTTGGCGTGTTTGCCGGCGAATCTGATATTTTCAGGCCCGGTGTATATCGACAAAAATGCCAACACAATGTTACGTAAAAACGAGTCTTTCGAACTAAAGGCGGCACGTCAAACTTTACGTCTCGTTCCACATCCATACATTATTTGCGTGCGCGAGGGGAGTCAATGTACTATACGCGTAAATTCTCTCTTTCAAAAGGTGTCCAATAGGTCGCGGCTCTCGCTTATTAGCCGCGGGAACGCCACAGTTGCATCAATCATTTAATTGTTCTCTTCATCCCGTTAAAGGAGCGTATAAATTTGCTCGTGGCATGCTTATGAGATTTCGTCGCGTGAGTGCGCTTGCTTATTAAGTATGCTTGTCCGTTTTTCTACCTCTCAACCTTGCAGTTAGAGCAATTACAATTAGGTTTTTCAGCAACCCCGGTAATAACACGCGAAGTACATATTTATTAGAATAACTGAATTGAATAATCATGAAATTGGCACGCGGTAATAAGAAAATGATCACATACCAAAGATAAACATGGTAAAGAATTGAAAGAGGTTTTGAAATGTCTGAGAGACAAAGAATTTTTCTTTTAATCAGAAATGTTAGATTGAAGTATAACTAAAAAAAAATACCTGTAATGATAAAAAATAAAAACTTTTAATATCTATATAAAGTTCTAGCTGCAGTCAGACTGACAGCAATTTTAACATTTTTCTTTTAGAATGTCTCTTTCTAAAAAGTATTTCAACTCAATCTCTTTATTAATGATTAATTCCTATTTCTTTGCACATATACGATCAAAAGGACATTAGTTAACATTCTGATAAAATTATTTATACGCGAGGTCGTACAAACGAGATATTAAACGATCGGGGAAAGGAAACTAGAGATACTCGTTCAATTTACCCGCGTTCGCCATTAAAACAATTCAATTCTTACTAATTCAAGACTCAATTATATAATATATTGAGTCCTTGTATGTACAATTTATTGTGCACGAGCTTAATTGACTAGTTTAGAGTTTCTATTTCAAAATAGATATTTTTATTTCATTTATTACGCTATTATTAAATCAAATAAACGACAGAAAAGTTAATTTAATGATAATTTATCGCAATCCGGAAACGCAATTATTTTTTTGAACCTATGTAGTTTTATATAGTACACACACGAATTTCATAATACACAAACTGTAAATTGATCTTAAGTATTAATTTTATTATTTTTTCGCATATACGAAACCTCTTTATTATAGAATGAAGATATATGTCGCCTCAAGCGATATGTTCTAAACATCTCTCTTTCGTAAGTACTATCGTCCCGGAATGTGCTCCACATAGGATGGCAAAACTTTCAAATTGAAAAGGAAAGTGACAGATAAAAAGCAAATCGATCATATTTGTGTTTACAGACATTTTGTAAAATAAAGTAGGGATAAAAAATAGTTCTTAAACCATATTACCAGCGTCACATCAGTATCATTATCTTAAAAAAAATGTTTTGCTTAGAAAATACAATAGAGGTATGATTTAACCGTCGGTACGACTTAGCCAATCCCACCCTATATAAAGAAAGAAATAATAATAAACAATAAGTTTTTCAATTTATTTTACGTCCATCATTAATACTGTTTAAAATTAAATTGGAGTACTCTGCAATTAAAACTCCCAATATTTTTGTTTCGCTACGTAGGTTATTGGAAAAGTTTCTGCAAACGATACGAAAAAAAAACATGTAAAATTCGGTAAATGGCTTTATTTTTACCGAATTTACATGTTTTTTTTTTCGTATCGTTTGCAGAAACTTTTCCAGCAGCCTGCATATAGTTCGCTAATCTAAATAATTAGTTATAAAAAATTTATATAACATTATAAAATTAAATAAAGTTATAAATAAATATTATTAATGTAAAAATAAGAGTAAACATAGACAATTATATCTTAATAAAAATTTCATGAACAGTCATTTGCACGCTTGAAGTCAATGTTTCCAAGTGCATTTTGCAGCATCAATTGACTAAATTTTTCTTTCGATATTTATCGGTAATGTGCGCAATTTAAACTATTATAAGTGATGTAACTTCGAGTCATTTGTTTTATCGCGATATCATGATTTTTTGCGATATTTTAATTCTCTCTGTCGCGAAATAAGTCGATCAACCATCGCAGAACAAAACTGATTTCACGGCCAGGCGAAATATACAATGCGCTTTCTCAACCGTATTGCGTTATTATACCGTACTGGCCGCTAGCTGACAACCGAGCATTACTGACCGTGATTACGTCTCCATTTATAAAAAGGAATAAGCACCATGTAAACGAAATTTCGTAAATTGCTAATCAGGCTCCTCTAGGTCAAACAGATATCCATAAATCAATTATGCAATTAATTATTTACAGTATCTAAAAGATTATATCTAAAGTAACTTTCATAATTTATATAATAAAACTAAATGTTTTGCGGATAATTTACATAACAAGTATAAAGTCTAATTGAACTTCAAGATTATACGCTGTGCATCTTTGTTTAATTTTACAACCACTATAAAAGAAATCAAAGAATTTTCGATAATTGAAACTGACAGATTAAGACCGGAAAATAAACCCGAATGATCGGACTGCAATTCTTTGTCAAGCAAAAGAGAATCATTAAAGATTGCCTGGAGCGCTAGTTAACTGGGGGTTGCCGATAATCTAAGATAACGATGAGACGATTCTTGTTAAATAGAATAAATGAACTTCTGGAAATAAAACGTTGAGCATCAGGATCAGTTTTAAGAAGACATGCGGTAATTACATTTAAAGTACATTTATCTACAATCTTAAACTGAACAAAAAGAATACCACCTATGCAAAAAAAAGAAGAGAACAACGGATATATTTTATATCATTATTAAGTATTAGCTAGAAAAAAGCCAAATATTTCTTAAACTCTCTCCTGAATTTAGAAAAACTGAGGATGAATACTTTTGACATTGAGTCTAAGTGTAAAATGACAGCAGACTGAGGTAATGATTTAAGAAAACTGGCTGGTGTTATAAAAGTACAAATCCAATCGAGGTGATGTTACAAACCATATCACGTCTTCTATTACTTTATTTACTATTTATATTAAAATATGACATAAAGAATGCTGAAATTTGCATTCACGTAAGTTGCAGTATTTCGATTTACTCTGCTCGAAAAGTTACACAAGCTGATTTATATGCAGATGAAGTGAATGATGATAGCAATAGACGGACTATAATTCATTCGTTTGATCTCGAAGAGAACCGTACTATGTATCAAATATTCCAAAACACAAAGATATTAATCTCCTAAATTTTTGTTTTCGAATAATGGATGAATATACGAGGCTTGTCTTTCGTAAGCTCATAATACCCCATCAATTATCGATTATCCTGCAAGATCTTCGAACAACGTCGCATGATTGGAACGATTCTACCACGGTGTCGTTCTCCTCAAAAGTGTAATCGAAAGGTAAGGAAGAAAGAAAGCATCCATTGTCAGACTCAGCGAACGGCACTTTCGGTGGCGCGTATTTTGGAGACCGGCGAGACACAATCGATGTCTCGAATCGAGGGCAGCAGCCGTATGGCTCGTTTAGAGAAAGGAAAGTAAAACGTGGACGGGAGCTACAACTTCTCCACCTCCTTCTTCTTCATCACGTCCGCCGCTAACTTCTCGTGGTTATTTCTCGCTCACCTGGCGGGTACATAACGTAAGATAAAATAACTTTCCTCCACCTCTCTCGTCTCCTCTCAACTCTCCCTCCCCGGCTCTCCCTTTCCCTCTTCTCGTTTCCTTTCCACGAGTCAGCACGAATCAGTTCCGCGCTTTTAGGGAGCTTTCCACCACCAGGACGGTGCACACTCTGCGCTTTCATAAAGAACTATGCAGCAAGAAGGCAGGACACGATCGCGAGTACCACCTTAACGTAGTCGATCACTACGACTCGATCTAAAAGCAACCATCCAGGATCGGTGGTAACCGACCGTTGCAAGCTGGATTATATCCGGCAAGTAAAGAAGTGGTTGGTCGATTGCACGAATACAATTCGACAAACGGTGGAGGAATAGACACACATAAACGGTGGTGATTAACTTAACGATTTCTCGGACACGTGCAGAGACATTAGCCGACGTTCGATTATTCTCGCCCCTCCGTCGCGTGTCGCGTGTGTTGAAAAAGTGTATCGAAAATCACGTGCAAATTGACAATTACAACCCTTAACGGCAATTCTGTCGTTGATCCTCGTTCGCCGTAAATCATTAACAACGTGGAGCGCGTGGTGGAAGAATGCACAACGGGTGAGTGAGACGGAATTATAAATCAAGAAATTCGACAGAAGAATTCGAAGCGATCGACGCGTGTCACACGCAAAAGGAGGGCTATTACTAAGATAAAGTATTGCCAGAGAATTCTGAGATTTTTATTTATATTTTTCGTGACTTCGTAACAGGAAGAAAATTGCAGGAAGAAAATTGATAATTCATCGCTTCTTGTTAATAACAATAAGACACGATCAAAATTAATTAGAATTTAAAAATATATATCTTTCTATACTTTGTCACATACTTTAGTATAATATACATTTGAGATTACTAATAAAAATTGATTTATGTGAAAAATTTTAATAATAAATGGTGGATCTTGTTTTACCAGGAAATAGAAGAAGATCAATTTGTTTTTAAAGTTTTGCTGTGCCAGCTATCGCAAATAATTAAGTATATCTACAACTTTTATAAGGACGCTTCATACAAGCCTCATAATGTATTAACTTTCTGTATTAAATAAAAATTATAAAAAATATCTTATATATATATATATATATATATTTTATATTTTCTGTTTTTTGAAATAAAATACATCAAAAATACACGTCAAAATATCACGAATTATATTGACGAAATTCTCTCTGAATTTTTCTGTCTTTTTCCGTGTTATATATGATATAAATTGATACTGCTAACAGTATTAAATAAAAAATAATTTTTCATCCTTTAATTCTAATAAAAATCAATTTTTCTTCAGCAAGACTTATGTGATAAAACTAAGTTAAAAGAATACTACCATCACATAATGATATATATATGTTGTAAATTTGTTAAAAATTCCCCTCAATTATATTTTTATTCTCTTTGCCTAGCCCTTTCATAAAATGTAGAAAAGTTCAGGAAGAAGTTTAAAGGAAAGAACTAGATTTCGGCCATCTTTATTTCGAAGAAAGAGAATAAAAAATTTCGTTTATTTTTGCCGAAAAAGATTGCAAACAGAGAATTAAATCATCTCAATATTGCTTTACTCTTAGCAAAATTAAGACATTTTGGCGCCTGTATTAATTAATAAATTACCATCGTTGCTTATCAGTTTTTCCAATCTCTTGCGAACTTCTTGAACGTGAGAAAGAAGAGTTTGAGGCTTCCTGAGAAAGACGGAAGCCCGGAAAAATTATTACGAGTAATTATGAGAATTGGGTCGAGACAGGATACAAATGGGGCGAAAATGAACGTGGTCTTTTCATTATCGCGAGGCCCGTGAAAGGTGAAAGGAGAATCCCGCGTGAGGCACCGAGAAAGCAATCATTTCGATCGATCCGGGGAATTTTGTCTCAATCACTATTTACACGATTTATTTTTTAAAGAAAACGCGCCGTCACGCAAAATGACGAGCGCATGATCAGCAGGAATTTAAAGCATAGCGCAAAATAAAGATCGGATAGTCACAAATGTCTTGTAATCTAAACTCGACCTTCTGTAGGTATCGTGTTACTTTTACCTGCTTTCGAATCCTTTCACCGAGGTAGTAAATCATTCAAATTTTTTAATTGTCAAATAAGATACGCATCTACAAAGTGTAAGGATTTGCAAACACTTGAGAAATAGTCAATCACTGTCCGCCTACTTAAAGCAATTATTTAATCTAACCGTAACGCTGCGACACGATGATGCAGTCGGCACAACGACGATAATCGATTAGCGTATATAATGAAAGTTTTCATTACAACCTTCCGATGCACTATTTTGCATAATTCTATTTTATTAATTTAACCAATTGTATAATATTTAAAAATTCTTTAAATAACCAACACATTGCTTATTATCGTCAGAAATTTCGTATTCATTAATTGTATTATATTACATATACATGTAAGATTTAAATTTTATGCAATTTAAAAATATATGATCAAAAACATTTTTACAATAATCTAAATTTTTTTGTAATTTGTTACACTTTTTTTAAAATTATATACTGAAATAATGAGATAATGAATTGTCATTTTTTTAATTACTTGCAAAAAAGCAAAAATTTAAAGAAAAAGATAAAAATTTTTTAGTTATTACAGCCAATAAGCGATATGTAGGTTAAGTTTAATTACAACCCGTTCACCATAAAAGAAACGTGCAATCAATATATCTTTGCTCGTATAATAAAAATCATTTACAGTATAATTACAACATACAATTCGTAGTATATGTAATAAAATGTATACTGCATATAATTCTTTTAATTTTTAAACTTTTTAAAAATTTTTCTAACGTTTTAAGCATACATATAACATAGCTATAACATCTTTAGATTTTATCAACTTGTTAAAAGTTAAATATCTTATGCAATAATGAGGAACAATTCTCTTGCGGTATTTTGCGGCTGATTTTTTTGACGAATTTTCACTTTTTCGTACGCTTCCTGACCACTGTTTCGCACGCTCTCCGATTGAATTTCACGCGATTACGTACGCGGAATATCAATCTGAATTCACTCGTAATCCGGTAAAAGATTGACGTTTCCGCGAGAAGACAACAATAAATGGACATACTACTACTTATTGTTAGTTAATGAACCATGATCCATTAAGTAATTACAAAAAACAATTTCTTCAGTCTTTTGTGATTTCATAAGATAATTTATTTAATACCATGAAAAGAATAAATCGTTAATTCGTATTAAATTTCTTTCTATAAAATGAGACCTCGGTTATGAAGCATGTATGGATTTTGTCTCTTCTTCCTTTTTCTAAAAGACATCTCAAAATCAATATGTACGTATCATGAATACATAAAAACTTTAAAATTAAAATGAAATTAAATATATTAACTCCGTATTTAACTTATAGAACAGAAATTGAAATACTTTAATGTAGATTTGTTTTAAAGCAATGTGGTAACAAGATTAATTCGGGAATTTATTTTTATTTATACATATAATTATTATAGCAAGCGTCCAAAGGGCCTTTTTCTTTTCTCTGTTTCTATTTTTATTATAAATTACATTAAACGAAGAATGTCGACAAATTATATCAATAGTGAGTTACTAAAATATAAATAATTTCTATTAAAAGTAATTGGATAATCATTACGATCTAAAATTTGAATATGAGAGGACCCGGTTTATTGCGTTGTATTCGTGAATCGACACGTTCGAGATGACTAAAAAACAGAAGAGAATCCAAATAGCTTTAAAAGTCGATTGAATCTTATCTAATCATTGTGTGGTACGGGAGGCACTTTCATCGGCGGCAATAAATACTATAAAGCAAACGCGAATACCTGTCAGACATTTCCAACGTACCAATTTGTACCGTAAATTAATGTAATTTCATGACAAGAGTTGGTGAATGAAGCATAGACGTACGATAGTAATTAATCTTGACATATGCTTTACTAAAAAGTTCAAGGTGGTGGAAGCCCTATAACTGTACATTCGGTATTTCGTCCTTTTAACGTAATTTTCTTAATACATCACAAAATATAATTTTTATATAATAATACATCTCTTAAGCAAAGAGAAATGTAATTCATAAGCCTGATTAATATTGGAAGTTTAGATTTAAATGTACATTACAGAAAATTCCTTAAATAATGAAATTAGAAAGAAAGAAAATTTTCTTTCTTATAAAAGTCCGATGTAACGTACGGTGTATGCTAGTAAAATTGCGACACGTACGAAATATATTCGTTGTCACACAATTTTGTATGCGTGTCAATTACACGTTTGCATATGCAAATATATCGCAAAGTGTAGGAATACAAAATGTAAGACTAACTTTCCCATGCGTTTCTTTGTGATAAAAGAATGTGATAAAAGAATAGATTACGGAAGAGCTTCGACTTTTGTATATCGCTTCGTTCGAGAATGTATCACGCTTAAATAAGAACGCTCATATGATGTGATAGATACTATCGAGCTATCAAACAAGAGAATGTTCACGGATAATTAATTCATCCTACTATTTTTTGATATTCTTACGATGTAAAGTGTAATTTTAACAAAAAATGCACTTTTTTATGTACGAAGTTATGCTGACACAAATGAAAGTGCGTCAAACTTCAAAAATTTGTACTAACTTTGAGAAGTTCCATGGCGTGAATTAAAAATCACATAAAAATTCGGTTTACAGGATTCAAAAGCGTGAACCTTTACCTTTGATTTTCTTTTTTGTTGAACTCTGTACGATTTTTTTTCACCGAGTTATTCAACATTGAAATAAAAATGACCCTATTTCCTGATATTAAATGACTTTAATTTTGTTAAAAAATTGCAGGTAAACTTCAAGATAAAATAATTGTGTCAAGAATCATCGTATTGAGATGTTTAAAAAAACATTTTCAAGCTTGAAACCTTTACTTTTCATACCGGTATTTAAAAAACCGGTATTACTGATATTTCAATAAAAAAAACAAATTAAAGGTAAAGGTTCAACTGCTTTCAAATCCTGTAAACCGAATTTTTATACGATTTTTAATTCACGCCATGGAACTTTTCAAAGTTAATAAAAATTTTTTAGATTTGACGCATATATTTTTATTTGCATCAGCATAACTTCGTAAAGAATTAATCAAATCAAAATATCAATTACTATTTTCGAAAGTAGAGATTTCAAGTTTTAGAATGCTTTTTTACAAATTTTTTACGATCTTTTTTGACAAAGTTATACTCTTTTGAAATTTGCCTATTTTTGGGCAGTAGGATCTTTTACTGTCTAATATTAAAAAAAGAAGAAAATGCGGAACCATATATACATATATATGATGCCACATAAACAGTATAAATGTTTTTACTCTGCAGAGAATATGCGGAAACTGTCGTAGCTACATACTTTAAATACATTGGCTGCGTTCAGCGGAAAAAGTAGTTTTACAAGATTCTTTAATGTAATTGTAAGACTCTTTAATATAATTGTAAGATTCTTTAATATAATTGGTTTATGTATATTTAGATCCAGTAAAGAACTGAAAGTAAAAACCAACCTTAATACAGAATCTTACAGTTACGAATTTACTTTTTTGCTAAACGCAATCATTGATTGATTGATTGTTTCAATTAACATTTTGCATTCAAATTTCAATGATATAATGTAAAATTTCTTTTGCTAACTTTGCATTAGTTACTCATATTCATTATAATAATTTGTATAACAAAACGTTAATAAAATGGAAAAAAGAAATATTTTAGATAAGTTAAAGAGTATTTTTATTACTTCAATATATTATTATATTTCGTATTATCACCTTTTTCATCTTAGGGGATCTCCGATCAGATTTGTAATAAATCTATGCAAACCTGTATGTCTGTGATTTAAGACATCAATATATTTCTTATTCAAACGTGCTACAATAATCTAAGATGTGAGAAAGATAATCGTTTGTACTGAACTGTTGCAGATTCGCGATAACGCGGACGCGATCCGCGATAATCGGATTGCTGCTGTTGCTGGTAACAGCACACTGTAACGGGCTGCAGTATCAACCTTTCGACTCTTATGCAAACGGAGAAGAGTGCGCCTTGATCCTGGATGTCCGTGGAAGAACCAGCGTTTATGACTACACCTATAATTTACTTCGCGGATCGTTGTAAGTCCTCACATTAAGACCGAAGTATGAGTCTGCGTGACGATAGCGATCTTAATTTAGCGAAAGTCAACGCGAAATCAAGAACTGAAGTTTATTCCTTCCAAATGACTGATACAAACTTTCGCAAAATATTGCAGCTTGTGAATTTTTACGTCTCAATAAATATAGGCTAATTAATACTTAATTATTCGTGGCAAAAATGCTAATTTTCTTCTTTTCTCACAAAGAATTAATTTAAATTGCTTAATTAATCATTCATTTCGAAATTTTTCCTCGAATTTAATGTGAGAATTTTATTAATATTATCAACATAATGTTAACGTAAAATTTATAATATAATTTTAAATATTTTTTATCGCGATGAAGCGTAAATACCAAATAAAAAAATTCTTGCACAGATTAGATTAATTGTACCGTAATATCAAAAGATCAATATTATGATCAGAGTTTATCTATTTTTTGAATTTAAAGGTTTTATTATTGTGTGATAAAATAAGGGTGGAAGATATAGGAATGGATATCTATTATAAATTTTCAATATTACCAATAATTTCCAATAATGTAGTTTCTTTGGTATTTTCTTTTAATTACATAAATATTATAACTGAAAATTACAATCGCGCTATTTAATTTAATTAACATTATTTATTAAATTATTACAAATAATCTATCATTTACGATGTATTATTTTGCGAGAAATGTTACTTTTGCAAAAAATTACTCAAAATTTAATAATTAATTGCACTTAAATTAAATAATAATTTTTCAACAGTCTATCGAATTTAATACTTTCTCTAGGATATTCTAATGCAAATCTCTTTACCGTTAACAAGAAGTGTGATTGAAAACAGTTGTATCGTGACAATTGTATCTAACCATTCTATCAGTTTATCATAAATTTAATTATTACGATTATCTGCGATTAATAATGGTCACCGATTATATCGCTCAAGCAAAATACTGCCTTTTACTGCGCTGCTGATCACGAGAACGCCATAAAAGCAAATAAAAAATATCTTATCAGCTAGGACATCTGTTCTAGGACACATTGTAATGACTAGGAAATGCACAATTATGAATCACGTTTGCTAACTGCATGGAAGCGCATTACACTTACGCAACAAAGTAAGTCCTCACCTGGGTATTCTAGAGGATTAGAGAAAGCGGAAACTTTAACCGTACAGCCAGGACTTTCACTATCATCCTGTTCCCGCAGGACTAGCGGAAGTATAGTGGATTCTAATGCGATCTTATCGGTAGAATACCGATATGCGAACGCACAGTATTCTGCTGTAGCTATATTGCCGCAGACTGTTCCGCATGCCTATGTAAAATGATTTTACATAGATTACATTGTTTTTATGATGGTAAAATTCGTTCTCTGTCGAGCTCTTAAAAGCGGCCATTGCCAGCTGGAGTCGGCATTTATGGTATTGAGCTATAAATGCGTCATGCAACGAAAGTGACCGTTACGTATTGCAATAAACCGCGTGCTGTTCCATTCATCGTCTCGTGTACAGAATCGCATTTACCGTACAGACAGCCGCAGTAATAATCCCCGCGTTCAGACGCGTAACCGCTATGAAACCGGTGATTAACTGCCGTTCTTCGCGTCAAGAAACCGACGGGACGGTGGCGTTTATCGTTCGAACGCTCCCGTAAAGTGTCCTTAAGAATCGAATTCAGCTGGGCGGCCGAGATGTTGGAGAAATACGATTACGAAGGCAGCTGCGATCACAAATGATTTATAGAATAGAAAATTAAGAAACCAATTTTTTCAACGGATAGCATTTGGATGCTAAAATTAAAATGTAACTCACATCGTTTCGCTGTACTTTTTTGTAATATATGATGTAAAAGAATGCACCGCTCGTAGTAATTATAATTATAATTGATTGCAATTTTTTTAACAGAGTTATATGAGATTCTATCTGTCTGAGATGCGTCGGTTTGTGTTTTTCGGATCATAAACGGCAACATGGATTTAAACTCGTATGTACAGAAAGTTTATCGCTAATTGAGACTTTTAAGGTGCTCCACTAATAAACTACAAGGCAACCGCGTTGCAATAAAATCACTTAGATTGCTAAAAAGTATAGTAGCCAAAACGACCTCGCTTTGAAGCTAAAAGAGAACTAATTGGAATTACATGCCAAGTGTATTATCGCCGTCCTTAATTCCACGCGGATCAACTACGATTGCTTCAATAACAGTAACACTTGTTATTAAGAACTATAATTACGCTGTTACATACTTAATTCTTATCGTAATAGCGTGATTAAGAATACAGTTGTACAGTGTTTAAAAAGACACTTTAAAAGGTTTTCAAACACCTCTTGGTAAACATTATTTTCTTAATAAACAGCTGGCCATTCATGACAACATTGATCATGACTTACAATTTCATGTGATAAATAAGCATATAAACTCTCGTAAATTTGTGTTTATATAATTTGCTTACATGTAAGTGCAATTTATTTTGAAAGCTTTTAAATATTTCTTACATATTAAGAATATTGTTTTTTTTAAATAGTTAATAGAAGAATTAAAATCGAAATTAAAATGTTAATTATTTGTTTTTTTTTTAATCTAATAGAAATCATTAAAAAGTAGAAATAATTAATAATTCTGATTTTAATCCATCAAAATTTTTTAAATAATATATATACGATTTTAATAAAAGAAAAATATACAGCTCAATTTAGCACATTGTCATAAAAATTTAATGAAAATCTTGTACAACGCGTATAATATTATGTTATCACATTAAAACAGTTAAAATTTCACATAAAATTCAATTTTAAGTTTTGACACAAATATAGATCGTTTATACTTAGCGAGCATAATAGCCAGTTATCCAGTAATCAGGAGTAAACATAGTCAGGCAAGTCGCGTGATTTGTGACCGTTTAGGTAGCCGGCGTGGCGTCGTAATGCCGCCCAGTTAGCGATGTCACGTAGTTACTTTAAGATGGAGGTTACACTCATGGAATGTCAAGCAGGTGCCCGAGGACACGACATAACGAGCCGTCGTCGGTTCGCAATTGCACCACGAAATGATACGTTCAATCTGGAGGTCGAAATAGCGCGTGGCAGTTGCAAAAGTGATTATTGATATAATGTCCAAAAGGATCACTCATGAGAAAGCAGGAATGTGTAAGAATATTATTTCGATTGCCAATCATCGATATCCATCGAAACAAAGACGGCATGACGCACGAAATGATCGGAGTAATAACAGGGCAGACTATTTTCGAACACTGTAGATACTTTGCGTGCCGCAATCGCGACAACGTGATTATTAAACGTGGCGTATTAAAGTACGAATGCCGTGAGCTGAAATATAATTTATATGTATCAAAAAAAGGTTCTCTGATTAGCGCAATCCACATTTATCACCAGGCGGCAGGGAATGGAGCTATAGCTGTCGCTCAGACCAGTTATGGTAAGTGCGTCGATACACGACACCATTATAGAATGCTTTCGTTATTATTACATTGATTACGGCACAACGAAACACTCGATCGCAATTAAACGCGGAAAATCCTTTCTTGCGTCTTTCCGATTTTGCACTTCAAGTACTTGAATTAGTGATTTATACTACTGAATCAGTATTTAGAAAGACGGCCGATCGAGTAAACTTTAATAGTTTCACGAGTCAATGTATTAAATTGAGACCCCTGTTATGCTAAACATTAAGGTGGATGTTGATATAAAGTCTAATTATAAACCAAAAGTACAGTGTTATATAAAAATGGATAAAAAAAGAGATATAATTTATTCCTGTTTTCACATCAATGTAAATTTTGAAATTTTAATGCCCATTTCGATCACTATAAATTAATTTCATCTAGATTCAGCTTCCTCTTTATCTTTTTCTAGTTCTTAGAAGAGTAAATTGATATCATGATGAAAACAGACAATAAAATACTAAAATAATGTGGGTATGTTAAGTTAGCACCCCAACTATAGTACTCAGGAGTTCTGATTAGAGTTCCTACTTCCTTTTGACGAGACGAAGAGTTCCCTATAGTTAATAACCAGAGTTCCGCTCAATAAACATTTTTTTTACATTTTTTGAAAATGGGGTGCTAACTTTTTATCGAATTTCGAGGTGGAATAGTTCTGACCGGCTTAATAGCTTCAATTTGCGATTGCCTAGAGTTCCTGATATGTAAAAAAAATGTTCGAATATTAAAAAAAAAATTAAAAATTTTTGAAAAATTAATTTTTAGATACAATAGTTCTGATGATAATTTCTGCTTCTTTTTGACGATACGAAGGGTTCTCTATGATTTTTAATGATATATGCGCTTAATAGTCAATTTTTAATAATTTTTTAAAAATGGGGTGCTAACTTTTTAACGAAATTCAAGGTCGCATAGTTCTGATCAGCTTAACAGAAGTATTTTGTGAATACCTAGAGTTCTTGATACATAAAAAACATTTTTGAAGAATAATAAAGTTTAAAAAAAATAGTGGAAATGTTTGAAAATTTTTTTGAGAGTACCGAGTAGTTCTGAGTTGCGTTTCTTATAGTACTTGACGAGTTCTATCGAAAACTGTAAGGTGAAAAAGCGATTGGACCAACGGTTTGTAAGATACAGCGACATTTGGCGATTGATAAAAGAAGCAATAAAAGGCGGAAGATAAGAGCGCAATGTCGACGTAGAGAAACGACATAGAGAATTGCTGGATCAACCTTCGGCAGCCGAAGAGCGGCGCGTCTCAATGCCATTGTATATTTCACTAGGAAAACAGGAGATATGAAAGTCAATTCACTCACATTTGTAGGAGAGCATGTCTAGGATAGTTTCGGATTACCTTGATACGAAATATCCGCACATACAGACACTCTGCGTGTGTAAACGTGATCTACGCGAACGAATTCACGCGCAAGGCTCTCGCGAGTCGGCTTCTCATGAAAGTAGGCTACAATGTTGGCTAATTAACCCGGTGATATGCAGAAGGAAGGGAAAGAAGAGGGGAGGAATCTGTAAATAATATCCGCACTCAAAGATCAAGCACGTGTCAACTTTCATCTTTATTCTTTCGTTATCCGTAGCCCTACCACAGGAGGTACTCAAACCTGTATCACGTTTGACGCCGTAAATCATGCTTACGTCGAGGCGAGGAAGCGCATCAGTGAGTATAATAAATTTCATTACAAGAATTAATTGCACGATGTCCATATAATTTATTATCGACAATGATCAATACGATAGTCGCGTAATAATGTGTAGTCTCGGTCGTACAAACCGTAACAAATGATAGCCGCACGCACATCTCTCTCGTATTTGCTATTTTTTACTTGGCTTCACGCGGCTTTCTCGTACTGTCGCTCACACATAATCGCCCGTAGACGTCGCGAGACCAAAGTCGGAGATGTGGCGACCAGAGGATCTGTCGACGGTCGGCGAGCTGCTTCTCGACATTACTACGAATCTCGCGCAAACGTAAGTCTTCCCTGTTTAAAGTCTATGTAATCTTTCTCTTTCTCTTCCGACGAACTTTCCCCCCTTGGGATCCGATCGCGTTTCCTTGATTTTACTTTCTAATCATCGGCACCCAGGTACGGATTGACCTACGAGGAAATTCAAAGGAGTCTACCGTTGATCGACACTTCGAAGACGCTAATTCGCGAAGTTTGTCCCGCTTTTCTTAGCAACATAGAATGCAGACCAGGCAAGTACCGACGGTTTGATGGTCTCTGCACAAATTTAGAGAATCCAACTTGGGGAGCCACTCTGTCGCCTTTCGCTAGGTAACCGTAATTTTTTTCATTTTTCGCAGATGTCACTTTTTTTCGGCATGACACGAATATTTCTTTTTTATCTTTTGTAGATTGATGGGCCCTCAATTCGCGGACGGCCTATCGGCGCCGAGGATATCCATAACGGGTCGTGATCTACCATTGTCCCGAGTCGTATCACGCACCATGCACCCGGACGAAGGTTATCATGATCACGCCGGCACAGTTATGGTGATTGCGTGGGGACAATTCATGGACCACGATTATACTTTGACCGCCACGCCTTTAGGTATATTACATTCGAAAGTGTGATTTTCTACACGACATTTATAATAAATATTTCCGTCGCAGTAATTTAAACGTCGGCAGAACGACTAGTTCATCTCGATAAATAATAATTAAGATTTTTCCGTTGATCTCATTAATTAGAAAAATATAAAATATTTAATTCTACAAAGACCGTTAATGTAAGAACATAACTAATACGAATACGAAGCCTATAACAGTCTATAGAAGAATATACTTATATCTATGACCAAATAAATAAATATTTATGTATATAGAAGCTATGCATTTCGCGAGTTATCTCCGTGTCCAAATGCATTGTTAAAATGCCAATATTCGTGAAATATTGGCATACTAATAATGGATCTGGATACGGGGATAACTCGGGAAATGTACATAACTTCTATATAAAAAGTATTCGTGGCAGCCTCAAAAGTATTACTAAATAAAGACTTATGTAATACGACTTTATATATATAACGTATTTCACATCAAATACGTATAAATTATAAAAAGTATATAAAGTTATTTCTCTCTCTTTCTCTCTGTCTTTCTCATGTGTAGCAATAACAGGAACATAAATGCGGAATTATGTATAATTCTTCAAAATAATTGAATAATAATTATAAAAGATTTTAATTATTACAATACTAATTTATTGCAATAAAATTTTATGTTTTTATCGTTCAACAATAACCATTTTATCTAAGCTCATAAAACGAGAAATAAAAATCTGAGGTAGTCTGACGAGAAATAAATTATTAAAATCTGAAATAAATGATACTTAAATATATAAGTGAAGCTCACTGCAACGTACGATTCTGATTGCCATCTGTGACACGTAATAAATTTTAGAGAAAGCAACAATAAAAAAACTGAATGAATAGTTTTTCTATCGGTTCGTAATGATGAAAACCAGCTGATTCAATCGTACAAGTACAAATAGAAAGCGAGCCTCTCAATCGTCAGCGGACTGATTGCGTCTGAGCAACTCTACCGAGATATTTGATACATGTGAATCGTAGGTCGCTTATAGGCCCTTCCAACGTTTGCCGTATTTATCGAAAGGAGGGTAACTGCGAGAGAAAGCGAACGATCTTTGCCTGGATAAACCGATCACGTGTACGACGTTTCCAAACAGGCGCTCATCGGCTTGAGATCATTCGCTGATATGTCAGTCAAAATTGGCAAGCCCATTGGCAGACTTGAAATCATGCCACTCTGAAATAACTCACGATACTCCACGTCAATTATCGAATTGTTCTCAGAAGAAAGAATAATTTAGAATGTACAAGTCAGCTATATTCCCTGTAGACAATCCTAGACACGTACAGGTATTCTTGTATGAAAGGATAATTAATAGACAATGTCGATTCTGCCTCGTCTAATACAAGCGAGATTGCGACAACCGGGAAAAAAACAGTCGACACATTCGTAATGTTCCATTCAATCGGGAACGCTGATATTCTCCGACACGTCTGCCACACGCGGACTATGGATTACGCGTGCGTGATCGGAATACTATCGCTTTCTGCTATCATTACATATCTGTTTTGCTATCATCGTGTTTGCAGACCCTCTGAACCGAAACGACCCGGAAGAGTGCTGTGGTCGGCTGCCACACCAAAAGAATCCCTACTGCAATGAGATCCTCATACCAGAGGACGACTATTTCTTCAGACTGTTCAATGTGCAATGCATGGACTTCGTTCGCGCTTTTCCTGCCGTCCGACCTGGTTGCCGCCTCGGTTCCCGAGTACCTTTCAATCTTCTTACGGGTGTACTGGATGGTAATACGGTTTATGGCATCACGGAAGTTTTTGCTAGGTAAACCACAATCATTTGCTTTCAACTCGTATAATAATATAAAATAATTATTCTTAAATGCTTGCATAACGATTTATCGCATTATCGATCCAAATAAAATATTTAAAGTCAATTTTGTCCGAATATAGCAAGTATAAACATATTCGCTAATTCTTTTTTTAATTAAAATGTGTTTAAAAAGGAAGTAATAGAATACCCACCCCATACATAAACGCGTTAAAACATATGAGAAAAATTAATCTATTGCACCTATTTGTAATTTATCACGTGTAAAATAATATAGCATAAAAGAGGAATTATATTAATCAGTCATCGCGGTTATATTCTTCAGGGGTGAGTAACTCGGTTTTCGCCTTTTACGGAATGCATGTGAATTTGGCGAAACGAATTTCGTTCCATCTCAAAACAGTACATATGTGAACCTCTGTTACGTCATCGAGGACAATAAATCAGCATTGCGTTGTTCTGCATTTTCCAACACACGAGCACGTGCTCTTGTGTTCTTCGCACTTTCTACCATGTTCACGAGATGCGATCTGCAAATCTCGCGATTACTCAATCCCTGTGGACTTCACATTCTCTCGTGACATCATAGATTGCTACATATATCTTTTACGTCTACAAAATAACATATATTGCTCTAATTTCTCTAAAAAGTATTTATTTTTATATTTCAAATAATTTGAAAATATTAAACTATCAAATTGACTTTCATAAAATCTCAATTCGTCTAATCATATAAAGTGACAGAAATATATCTAATAAATATTATCATTTGCACATAGTTTTTAAAATTTCCATATATCTCCTTATTTCACTTTTTAGAAAACTCCGAACAGGCTATGGCGGATTACTACGAATGAATCCAGTCTTTGCAGAGTATGGCCTTAAAGACTTATTACCGTTAAAATTGGATATACCGGATGAAGGGTGTACTCGGCCGAACCGATCGATGTATTGCTTCGAAGCTGGTAATTTAGATTTATAAATATTTTTCTTTATATTTATGATTAATTTAAATATTAAGATTAACTTTAAGAAGTATTATTTTAACATCGAAGCTTAAATAATGCTGCAGACTTATTTTTCATGTTTGACGTTTTAAACGTCCAATTTTCAAATATTTAAATTTATTTTATCAAAATTTTATAATTTATATATATATAATCGTTAAAATGTTCATTATTAAAAATTATTTATCTCGTACTTGCTCCAAAATTATATATAATAAACAAAGTATTTAATCAAAATTTTTGTCAAAATATTCTTTGTAATATTCTATAGTATTTTCCAGTATTTTTACATGTCACGCATTATTGCATAGCTATGTTCTTGCGTGACGAATCAACCGCTTCACTATTGCTTTAAAAGAAACTGACTTTCGTAAAGTGGTAAACATAGCTTTAAAACGCAATACAAGGCGCGGGCTATTAGCTCGATTGTATCTGTTTGAATTTACAATAAGTACGATGCACGAAACAGCGTAAGTCGAATGTAACCAATGTAACTATTCTAATTTCTGACGATTTTTCTGCGTTCTGTAGTACAAGAACAATGGAGCGGTAAGTCACGCTCGTTACTGCCTTCTTGTGGCGCCGTTTACTAAGTGCCTATCGCTCTCTCTTGAGATGGCCGTGATCGACTGCCCCGATCGATTTTACCTAGCACCTACGTTTTATATACTCGCCCGGGAGTCATTTTCCCACGTCAATCCGTCGATCATTCGCGAAACCTTCCAGCGATATGCACGGTGAATCTGGTCGGCAATTTTATGAGACAAAACAATTCGATCGCGACGATAATTGTATGCACTTATCGCGCACACCGATTCTATAAATCATCTGGGATACCTGGATCCAGAGCCACGGTGTACTGAACTATAAATCTCCCACACGTCAATCGTGAAAGTATTCAGCAGCAGCATCACCCATACCTTATACTTATGTTAATCGCATGTTATGGAAAAATCAATTGCTGCCCGAAATCTGCTGTCATTATTTAAGTTGTATTTAGAATTTCGGATGGTATGATAATCAACTTAATGCTCGCTTTTGCTATCATCGGGGTAAACACCGTATCACATGATTATCGGCACACCAATCGATACAGTACGGGTGAGAAAGAGAATGGCTGCGACGCAAGGACGTCGACTTTTATTAAGTCATAGAAATATTTTTAAAAAAATTGCACGTGCTGCAATACTTATTATTTTCTATACGTCTAGACAAAGGTTTATGTAATAACAAGATAACAACTTTTTGATATAACCAGTAAAGTAACAATTTTTGACCTTGATTTAATTTTGTACATTCACTCATTAAATCAAATAATTATGTTAATCACTCACACGAGATAAATAAAACAAACGGAAATAAACGTTTCTTGTTCCTATCTTTGTTATTAGCATAAGAATTCGATGATATGCTTCGATGGCAAAGATATTGTATTGATGGAAATTTTATCATATTCAGTCATCTTTATTTAAATCATTTAAATTAATTAAAATTACTTGATATAATAGCTAATATTAAATTATTATATTAGTACGCTATGGTACATCTAATAAAAATTATATATTCATATGAAATAGATTGTCATAATGCATTATGCAACAGGATTTAAGAAAACTATAACAAGTTAAATCGAGGCCAATATAAGTTTATAGATGTAGATTTGTGCGATGAAGCGATTACATTCTTTATAAACTTCTAATACTTTCCAATTGAATTCCTTATGTATTTCCAATACTTTGAACGTGGATACATTACAAAGTTTACCTTTTTGTGTTAACATTCTGGTTATTTAACAAAAAGCTTTTATTTTGTATAGTGATCATAGTCTTCACATTTTACATTACACGATTCAATGAATTATCATGTATTGTGTCTATGTACTTTAATAAATCTTTTATACTGATTAAAGAACTATAGAATTATTCGATCCTTTTTATGAAAGCATCGCGTCTGCCATTCTCAATTTCGAAAATTAATCATCCTTTTAGAATCTCAGAAATGTATTGTATTAATCAATTCTGTTATAGGTGAGATTCGCGTAAACGAACAGCTGGTACTTACCTGTATGCACACTTTAATGGCGCGAGAGCATAATCGGATTGCCAAAGCACTGGCCGTCATAAATCCGCATTGGGACGATGAGATTCTCTTCCAGGAAGCTAGGCGCATCGTCATCGCGGAAATCCAACACATCACTTATAACGAGTTTCTTCCCATATTACTCGGTAAAAATGTCATGGAGAAATTCGGACTTCTCCTCGAGAAGGAAGTAAGTTGTACTGACGACACTAAAACAAATTGAAACAAAAAATGTATGAGTATTTATACACAAAGACATAATTTCTTATAAACAAAAATAACTTCAAAACATCGTTAATAAATATTATCTATTAAGGTATCTAATTCATTCTTTGAATGTAGAAATAAAAAGTTTTAATAACTATGTATGTATGTACATATGTGTATTATTGTAATAATTAAGATTTAACGATATATATTTTCTGTTTATTTTTTGCTGTTCATTGAACAGCTTTTAACAGTAATAACAGTAATAACCGCCTCGACATTAAGATATCAATTTTCCATAGAAATACTGGGATGGATATGATCCGAGCATAAATCCAGGCGTAATAGACGCTTTCGCTGCTGCTGCTTTTAGATTCGGTCACTCGCTATTGCCCACGGCTGTAGAACGATGGAGTAAAGCTCATAAATTTATTGGTAAGGCGACAATATATACTAATTGCATAACAAGTTATGTTGCATAAATAAACCATATTAGAAATCGTTTCCTTTAATTATACATTCTTTAATCATTTTTCTTTTTTAATCTTAGGCTAAATAGAACTTCTTTTCTTTAAAATAAATTAATTTTAAATTCGTAATAAATAATTAAAATTTTATCAATTACTTTACATAAATTCTTTAAATAAATTTTTTTTTTAAACTCGTTTATTAAAATATTTATTTATGGATAATAAGATAGCGCTCTCTCAATTTTTGTTAAAGGATATTCAATTTTTCTTTTCTTCAAATCTAATTTCAAATTATCTATATTTATCTTTATAGCTTCAAAGAGACTCTCAGATTTGATAAGACGCCCTTATGATTTGTATCGGGCAGGTGTATTCGATGAATATTTGATGGGCTTGATGAACCAAGTCGCTCAAGCTATGGACGATTCTATAACGCAAGAAGTAAAACAATGATTAACATAAATAAATTATGCAATTATGCTGTATTACATGGGGTTCATCCTTTACAGGTAACAAATCATCTTTTCAAAAAAGTTGGAGCAAAATTCGGACTAGATTTGGTATCCTTTAACATGCAACGCGGCCGCGAGTTTGGTATTCCAAGTTACATGGAGTTTAGGTGAGTTATTGTTAAGCTGCACTTGTATTAATAAACTTGCTTAACTATAACTATAGTTAAGAGCAATATCTGTATACCACAATAATGATCTTCTGTATATACTCGTAGTTAGCATACAACAAGCATAAATAAATGAAACAGAAGTTTGAATAAAAGTAAAGTTAAATGATAATAAAATCACAGAAAAAAGTCATCGAAACAATTAATTTTCTGTTACTATCAGAAAATTCAATTACATTATCAAAAGTAAATTTCAATAATATAACTCGTTGTTGATTAAAAAAAATTATAATAGCATTTTTGAGATAAAGAAAATCGACTCTACACATTACTGTAATATATTATTATAAAAAAACAACACATTTCCTTATAAAAAAAAGTGTTACAACTTTGATGAGGAATAAAATTTATAAAATCTTATATTAGGATTGCAGTATTTAAATTTTAGAAATTCATGACAGTGTTTTAAAGAATACATTATAATGGAAAATTAATATAATAGTAAAAAGAAAAAGAAAAATACATTATTCACGAACCTAATTGAAACATTCCAATTTAGAAAAAAAATGTTTTAAGTTTTTAATGTTCTTCTGAAAAATTACTAATTTTCAATTGTATGACTTCTATCAATGCAGCGATATGTACATAATTTTGTAATTTCAGAAAGTACTGCGGCCTTCCTGATGCCAACACTTTCGATGAATTGTTCGGTTCCATGCCAAACGAAACTGTCAGGCGATATAGCACTATTTTTGAGTGAGTATTATACGTCCGTAAATTCCGGTAGTGGAACCTTCGAAATACCGAAAGATCGATCAATCAAGTTTTACATCTCATTATTCAGCGGACCGATCGATGCTAAAAACAGTCTATTCGGAAATAACGGTTTCATCTCGGCCACGCTCTTTTTCAGACATCCTGCGGACGTCGATTTATGGTCGGGCGGCGTATCCGAAAGACCGCTTCCGGGTAGCATGCTCGGACCAACCTTCGCCTGCCTAATTGCCACACAGTTCAGTCATTCGCGTCGTGGCGACAGATTCTGGTACGAGTTGCCGAACCAGCCATCGTCCTTCACTCTCGGTAAGATCCTTTCAAATTCTCTTCCCGGTGGGAGTTGCGTGAGCCAAGGACTCGCGACATTCAGTCGATATGTAACGAAGTGCAGTACCTTCTAAAATTGCGCTTTCGCTTTTATTTTCCTAGAACAACTGAACGAAATTCGAAAAGCAAAGCTCGCTAGATTGATCTGCGATAATACCGATCTTATCGATACAGTACAAATCTATCCGATGGTCCTTCCTGATCACGAAATGTAAGTTGATACAATTTATAATAATAAAAATAATGATTTATTAAATAAAATATTAAAAAATTTTAAAAAAAACGTAATATCATAACTTTATATTCCATTTATTAACAGAAATGGAAACTATACAAATATTTACTATTACTATATATTCTTTATCTGTTTATTACATTTATTTTATCCGTTATATTGACCAACTAATTTTGTTTCTACTTCGCTTTGAAATTTTAGAAATGACTAAAACATATAACATATGCTATCCTTAATTTCATAACAGAAATCCTCGAGTTCCATGTCGTAGTGGTATTCTACCCGGCATCGACTTGTCGAAATGGGCTGAATTCCCGGCGACGAGTCACGCCGAGCAATACGTGAGTAATCTAGCAGATCCATACGGGCAGTTGGGGAAATAAAGGAGGATCTGTTTCACCTATCTAGATATAAACAGAGTGCCCTTAGGCGAACACCATCACGTAACCAACCGAGCCACGAGTCAAGAAGTCCAACCCTTAGGCACTATAACACAAGACCACCCCGTAGGCACGCACGTATTGAAGTAGAGCAAACACGATAAGCCATGCTTAAGTAGAACAAATTGATTATATCACATAGTGCGATAAAGTACAGAGTTGGCCAGTCGATCATACTTGAGTCGCTGTTTTAAAGTGGTTCATTTCATATTGATTGATGAATTACAATCTCGGACATCTTTTAATAATAACTCGTAAATATATTGAGGTGATCATACCACGATAAACTTCAATTTGGATACCGATAGATTAATAGAAAATAATGTGGTATCGATCTGAACTTTCGGCAAAGTTACAGAACACCTTTAGCTTCCACAGTAATCCTTATCAACAGAATGTACATATAACTTTTTTTTTTAGTAAAAATGCATCGTGCGTTATACTTCATGTACACTTTCATACAAAAGGCAACAAGAATTTCACACATAAGGTGCGTTCGAGGAGATGCTATTGGTGCTACTTGTGTCATTCTCCATCCTTCTTTTCGTCTGATAAATAATGTAGATAAAATGACACAAATAGTGCTAATAGTGTCTCCTCGAACGCACCTATAATATACTCAATATTTGAAACATAGAATGTTATTTATGTGTTAAGTTTCGATTTTGACGTTGATCTTCTTTTGTTTGTACGAAAGTTATTTGTGACTAACATTACAGTTTGAATGCTGTGTATGACACAAACTTTTACATACCCATAAAACGTAAAGCATAAGAAATCAATCAGAGTCTTCCCAGCCCTGAAAAAAAAAATAATAAAAATAAAGGATTCTGATTGGTTAATTCTCTTATACTTTATGCATTATGCAAAGGTTTGTGCTCCAGCCTTAAAATTGCACAAATCTATAATTGTTTCTCTCACGTATGAGGTTCAAAATTTTCCATTATTATTTTATTTTATTTTAACATTACATAAATATACGTATAACAATTAATATTACTAAAGTCTGCAAACTGCACTTCAAATAATTTCATTCACAAATATTTAAATGTTTATTGTAAAATTTTGCCATAGTCTATGTTACCTCAAGCCACGTATCATTTGCATTGCATTTAGTATCTTATTATTTAAACTTTCATTATTATAGCAACAATTTTTCCATAATATATTTTAAATAATTTTTTCCACCGCTTTAAATATTTTATTTCGTGTAACACATTACTTCAATCAAACATTACAATACTACAGTTATAATATACTCTTTGTACATAGTAAATTTCAATCAAATCGAATCATTCCTTGCACGTAACCGTCATCTTTCAGTATCGCGAAAATTTTTATAACACTTTACAGTGCTTAATATCTAGTCTTTTCAATATATATTTTCCATATTGAGTATATCTTTATTTCTCAATCGAAACATATTAAAAAAAGATAATCTTCGTATTTCGTGCCTTTTGAAGTACATTAAAGATATATCGTTGAACATAAAAATTTTCCCTATTTAATGCAAAGCGCGATCATTTGACTATGTACTCAATTACAGTTGCAAATAGTGTATTTCGATCTGTAAGTTGGAATTTCTATAATCTTCATATCCAGAATACTGCTCGTTATACACAAAATTATGTAAGTGCCATTTTTTTAAATATAACACTTCGAACAATAAAATTTTTATTATTGTTCTAATTTATATATTTCGCGTATTTTTTCATGCGAATTACCCATGAAATCATCCATCAAAAATAAACCCAATATTATACTCACAATCAGACATCATTCTAGAAATGCAAATTACGATGTAGGCGTGGAAGCATTCGGCCTTTTCCTTTATAATTTTATACTCTTTCAATGCTTTTGAATATTCCTTCTCTATATGCTAGATTACAACACAATTTTAATATGGAATTAAACGATATTTGATATTCAATTTTGTTCATATCCCTTTCTCTTCTACATCATCTTGCATTCCTAGTTATTACAATCACCTCACAGTATCTAGTACCAATACAGGTAAAGTATCGTGTGCTCGGACATACACTCAGAATCAGATGATTGCGTTTGTTGCGCGATCGTACATTATCGTTCTAACTCCACATTTCCCCGCCGACTGCCATGCACCACATCAGTACCTACAATTACCTATTGTACTATAGCAATGGGTGGAGGAGCGTCCGGTGCAACCGGCAATGGTACGGGAGCACTACAACAGCCAGCAAGCTTATCGAATCTTCTTTGAGAATATTAACGGCATTGCTTCATATCTGGGCTTCACGAGAAAGTAAGCGAGAGCACCGCAGGGGACAAAGGCGCCTGATCGTAAAGTATCTGCCGCCATACGTCATGCTGTGCTTTGAGGCACTGTCTAAGGTACATCACGAACGTGGATATGAGTCAATCGACATCTACTTTACTTGTACAGCGAGATATAAAATAATATACGTGCGTCCATGTCCTATCTTGATGCTTGAGTGAGTTTAATAATAATTTAGATATCCGTGTCTACAATGAAATGATTATTATATAGAGTACTCGTTTACAATACAAAATACTGTTTTATAATGTAATATGAAAATTGAAGTAACGTTTCACGGAATATCTATCACGCAATAATGATGATCCTTACAGAATGTAATACTAACCAGCTTAAGACTGAAAGCAAATAATTAATTACTTATTATTTTAAGTATTTATATTATAGTTCTTTTATTATTTCAAATAAATAACTAATTACTGTCTTTCAGTAATAAGTTGGCCAGTATTAAATTTCTACTAAGAAACTGAGTTTATATTGATGATCAAACATTATTTTCCTATTATTCTTTCAGATTACATTTAATAGTAGTAACTTTAACGTATGTAATTTATGTATTGCGTATGAAAGTCTCTTAAAAATGATAGTTTTTTTTTTCTGAACGCGTTAATGCAATGTTATTAAGTATGAAAGTTCATGTACGTTTGCTTAAACAAAGTGAAATAAAATCTAATATTTATTAGTCAAGAGTATTGACGATTCCACAATAGTGGGATTACAAACAAATATTAATGAAAAATATGATATATTTTTGTACGATGATTGATTATTGCTTCAAGCATTATTATTGTAATAAGCAAGATGTAAATATACGCAGTGGCTCAGAAATTTCGACGGAGTTGATACTTTTGCTCCTTGTTTGTTGAATAAATTGTCAATTAAAACATATTTTCTGCGCTACTGTGATGACAGTTACCATTTATATTGTACTTTGTACATAATTACAAATAAAGTCAATTTATAATAATAAGAATGTTATTTAATATAAGCCTTTATTTATTTGTATTACTCTTAATCTGTTAAGCAGAAATTACATGTGAATTGGTAGACGTTTGTGAAGCTGGCCCCACATTGTGAAAATTTTGAAAAAATAAACAGAGTTCTGGTTGCCCCCCGAAGAGTTCTAGAGTTCTCTATCAAATTTAGGAAGAGTTCTATTGATTAAAGCAGCGAAAACACCATTTGAAATTACGGGGGGGCCAACTTCACGATTCTGCAACTTTGAAAAGCTATAACTTCTAAACCGTTCATTTTAGCACGTTGGTCTATAGAGGACAATCGATAGAACTCTTTGGGGGGCTATCAGAACTCTCAAGAAAACACCGAATTTCCAAAATTTTTTTCTAATGGTGTTTTCGCTGCTTTAATCAATAGAACTCTTCCTAAATTTGATAGAGAACTCTAGAACTCTTCGGGGGGCAACCAGAACTCTGCTTATTTTTTCAAAATTTTGACAATGAGGGGCCAGCTTCACAGACGTAATTGGTAGAGAAGCTCATAACAAAAGTATTGCACATTTAACGATCTGTCGAAATTAGTTTCATTATAATCTGTAAAATATGTATGATGGCACAATTTACACAGTAGTATAATGCACAGGCACATTAATGTCCAAAATAGGGAATCATGAAATGTTCATTTATTCCTTACCCTTTTCACAAAATATAAATGTAAGTACATCTTTCTATTAAGTATCTCCCAAAATATATTTTTGACGATATATGATATTTTTGCTAATTATTTTGTATATAATAATACGATTATTGTGTACAAAATAATATTATTATAATGCTAAAAATTATTTGTTTTTATAACATCAAAATTATATTAATTTAAGTAACGTTTGTGACTCACAATTTAATGTAATGTTATACTGTTTATTTATTATCTGTTAATTGATATTTTCAGGACACCGTAATGAAATCTACTCAAGCTGCATCTGAGATTAAGCCTATATTACAGCATACATATACCAACAAATTCAATCGTAAATTAAAAACCATGGGAAAAAATACAGCAATCAGTTCAAAAAAGAAGTCGAGCAAACCTTGGTGGATATATCCGTATTCTGTTGAGTGGAAAAAATACATGCAACGCTTAAAAATGCCTCAAAAATTTCTTCAGCAACAAAAAAAATTGTTAAATAAACAAATCATGTCACCAACATTTCATCTCATAAATAATCAAAATAAAAATGTAGACTTATCTGATTCTGATATGGAAATCATCAAGATTACAACAGTTGTCGAAGCCATTCGACAGAAACGACAAAATAGTGCGCAAATGTTAAAAACAACAAATAATATTCAGAAAATAATTGGTAACAAACGTTCAAAACGTTCGTCTTCTAAATCAAGAAATAATTCGCAGCCTGCTCGACAAGAAAAAACTATTGTTTCAAATAAAAAATCTCATAACTCAAATCCCAATTATCGAAAACAACGAAAGAGGACTCTTCCAATGAAAAAACCGTTACGAAATGAAAATTCGACTGATCTTAAAACAGCGAATAATGTAGCGATACCAAGTACTGTATTTTACAAACGTATTTGGGAATACATTAACGGTACTCGTCCTCATACCGATATTATCAGTGGTTACAATTCCTTAGAAAATAATTCGGATAATTCAACATGCACTGATAAAGATCGAGTTACAGTCTCACAATCGCAGGAAGATAAGACACAAGTAACAAATACCAATATTAAACCGGAACGTGATTTTTATAAACGCATCTGGGATATAATCAATGCAACTCAATTGATTAGAAACACAAACTCTCGTTCTAAACGAAACACGAGTACTCCAAAAAATAACGCGGTTTCAACTCCATGCATCCAAGAAGAAACGGTCAATTACAAAGAAGATAAACAGGTGCAAGCGACAATAAATGAAAAAACACCACTCAACATTACAGGTACTTTGTCAGAAATATCTGATTCTGGTCCTTATATATCGGGCTTTTGGAACATTGCAAATAAAATTCAATGGCAACCTAAAACGATTCCGGTTGTGAGCCTAGCAAAATTAAATAATAATCCGATTTTATCATCACCTGTAACCAGCGCTTCTGAAGTGGACGATTTGAATAAGTTTCCAGATAAAGTTATAAGTATTGATTATTCGTCCATAGATAATTCGACAGAATACACAACTGAAATGCGTAATTCATCACAGGAAATCATCTCCGAACCAGGTCCGCCATATTCTTCTGAAGAGAGTTCCACTACTTCGTTATTCTTGCCAATCGAAAGTGCTGTCGAGAAACCCTTGCAGGAAACGGATCAAGTGGAACGCGCAGAAAATTCGACAGGCACGATTCCGAATTATGATCCTTTAAATATACCCTATGTAGAAGTACCAGATTATTCCGATCAACAGGAGAAGAGTTTAGATAAAAACAATCAGAACACAACTTCAGCGAGATATAAAGAATATGATGATAGCGATTACGATTATATTCCTAAACAGTTCCACGACACTGATGATTTCTCTTCAAATTCCCCAAGTGCTAAGATTAAAGTGATACAGACTGAAAGTGACGGGCCAAAAACCTCATTGAATGCAAACAGCACGCGTCCAAGTTGCACGGAAAGTAATGATTCTGCCGAATGCGTCGACAATGATAATATCGAAGATACCAAGTTGCACAATAATACCGAGAATATTACTGACGATATTCACCGTCCCGCAGAAGAAGAAGATAAAAGTTCAGATTTCATCGACTTTGATGAATACAAAAAATCGATCAATTGGGAGGAGTTCTTTAAAAACGATCCTATATTGGAAAATATACGAGCTATGTTTAGCAAGAAATACGATCAAAAGGAAAAACCTGATGACACCGAAAAGTCTGAAGAAGTCGAGACGTATGCCACGGATCCAAAAAAACAATCACATAATTATTTTACGAAGAACGAAGATTTCCATGATGATTACAGTTTTAACAATAGAGACAAGACAAAAGAGGAAACCGATTCTCACGAGCAAAAAGAAGCAAAAGAAAGTGAGGTAATCGATAAGGATTATTATCCTTATGACGATGAAGATTTTTTCAAGGATATGTTCGAAAAGGACAGCGATAAAGAATCGGAATATAATTATAAGGGAAATATCGATCGCACCAAGGACTCTGAAGAAATCGAAACACATACTACAGATTCAGAAGAAAATAAAGGAAATTCTGATCGCACTGAGGAGTTCGAAGAAATCAAGGATCCAAAAGAACAATCGCAGGATTATTTCGTGAAAAACGTAGATCATCACAATAATCACAGAATTGCTTCCGACGATGCAGATAAAGCAAACAGTAAAGAAGAAGATACTGACTCTTCTGCCGAGAAAGAAGAAAAACAGAGCGAAGAAATTGATGAAGATTCTTATTCTTACTACGACAAAGATTTCTTTAAGAATATTTTCGAAAAAGACGACGATAAAGAATCGTCTGATGCAGTTGACACGGAAAAAGACTTCTTGTCTCGTTACTTTACAAAGAATGTTTTACACCAGTTGAAAGACAACTCGACAATCGAAGAAGACAGACAAAGGGAGGAATCGAGAAACAGGGAAGATATTTATAATACATTATCAAAAATTTTAGACAAGAAGGATCGTTTCTCTAGATTAAATGAGAACCTCAATAAAATGATTGAAAAGGGTGAAGCAGTACCGATCAAATATAACAACTTTTGGAGTTTGGAATACGAATCGCCTCGTAAAAGAAATAAAGACAATGAACAAGAAACAGAAGATTCAAAAGAAGAAGCTTAAAACATCAATTTTTAAGTTAAATAATTTAAATAAAATAATGAATAAAAAATATATAAATTCTAATATGGACTCCTCATAATTAAATATAATAATGATATTTTAGGGGGCTATTTAGAAGTCAACGCAGTAAGAAGAGCGCAAACATTAAATTCTAAAATATACTTTACTATAATCTAAAAGTTACAAATATATTTGGACGTTCGGCCATTGGTTTTAGCCATTCTCAGTAAAAATACGGCAAGCACACTTGCATCATTCGCATTTAAAATTTATAAGCTTTCTAGTGACATGATTCTGTATTTTTCAAAAATCCGTGGATAACAAAAATAAGTTAAAACTAATTCACAATTTGATGTAACGTAAAATTAAATTCAGTAAAATCGTTAAACATGTGTAATATCTTAAGAAAGAACGTCATCTCTCCACCACATTCAAAATTTGACAATGATTAAATAATTTAAATAATAGTTAACAAAATTCCTAATATTTTTGGCCTGCTGTATATAAATTACATTAAATCACGTTATTCGTTAAACTTATATATTCTTGTTATTATATGTTTTTGTCGTTAAATAGAATAAACAATTATAATAATGTTATTATAATTAAATTAATTATTATGACAATATCTCTATTTTACTGTTATTATACTATATATTAATCAATTATTGTATTGTATTATTGTTATTAAAGAAATTATTACCTAGAGATGAAAAATAAGTAAAATCCTGTAATAATATTCTCAATTTGCATTTTTTAATTAATTAATTTAAATAAACTAAAATATAAAAATATTATAAGTATACCTAACAAAATGTAAAGGCATATAGTATTTATTCAAATAAAGCTACACAATTAAAAAATTAATGTAAAAAAATAATTTAAAAGGATAAAATTTTAAAAATTAGTTCATAATATTATATATACAATACCTCCTAAAGAAATTTCTATAGCATAAGTCAAAATTTCATATTAGAATCACTATGGATCATGTGAGTTATAAATAAAAATGTATGTAAAGAAGTACCAAATACATCAACAGTATTTTTAATTTTAAAAGCTAATAGCAACACATAGAAACACGCGTTCCTTCTACAGAAACGCATACGACATTACAGTAGAGTGCAGGAAATTAAAAAGATCAAATTAAAGGAAGATAAGCAGCGGGGGGTTTCCCTAGCATGAGGGTTGAATCCGGCGTTTGCGGATATATAAGACCGGCGAAGACCGTTCAGTGTCATTCGTTGGCTTTATATATCCGCAACAATTCCAACAGCTTCACCTTCTCAAGCTGCCGTACCGATCAGGTAAAGGTTTGAAAATCATATTCTTAAGTATCTCTTATTTATTTTTAAAAATTTATCTCTTCTTTTTCGCATACAAATGATACAAAAATGCTTTTGTCAAAATCTATCAATCCGTTTTTCACATGCTAAAGAGATCTATCGCGTCGACGATCGATTGATTGCTCCAGTCAATCAATATTATTGTTCATATAACGCGCGATATCAAACGCTGTGCACGCGATCCTTGGTCTTGAATTCTCAAGTGCTTCCTGGTAAGAGAGAGGGAGAGACAGAGAGAGAGAGAGAGAGAGAGAAACAGACAGAAAAAGAGAAAGAGATGAGAGAGAGGGAGACTGGCGACATCACGGAAAGCCAAGATACCTTCCATCCATATTTATTATGTTTATGCGTTCACAATGTGGCCGTTAAGGCGAACGCGGAAACGCGATGAAGAGATTCTGGTTATAAATGACCGTATATATTAAAAAGTAGCGACGACGCGCTGCTCTCTCGAGGCACGAAGAAAAAACCGATGAGGAACCTTCGGTGGCGTCACGACGACGCCAGACAGCACGTCTGCACATTGCTTCCGTGTGATTAGAGGAGTAATTGCGCTATAACACCTGATCAACGTCGCACTAAGATTTTCGCATGCTGACGACACGCGGCCTCACGACAGCCTCACGGTCTCTAGTAAAACATATCGCGCATCGTGTATAATATGTAAACACGTGCTTAATGGATTTTTTTATTCTTTTATCAGCTAAGAAAAAAAACAAAGAACGAGAGAAAGAGAGTTTATTAACATCCGAGTTATCCCTGAAAGTTTATCGAGTTCGACTACGGTCATATCCCTCTCTGTCCTTCCTTCCGAACGAACACTAATTGCAAACTGGAAATGCAAAACGGCGTATGAGTGATAAAGAGAACATTTTTCGCATCTTTATATACACTCCTTGAAATATTTTTTCTTGCAGTAAATGCAAATCTCTAACGGATAGAATACTCCCCGATTTCTATTCCCGTTTTTCCACCTTTTGCCGAAGCCTCGTCCCTCGATCGATGAACTTTTTCCTTTGTATGATTCTTATTTTATTATAATCAAATTACAGCACTTCAAAAAGAAGATAATACTTTATTATTTCCCTGTAAGACAAAAAAGAAGAGATAAATATGCCGAGTATTGATATAAAAGAAAGAGAGAAAGAAAAAGTAAATATATTAGCATTTGATATATTATATACATATATTTATTTTATCATGCCTCCTGAAAACGGCAAACACTATATACACGCGATCCATAACAATAATGCATGGCCTAAATTATTAACTAGAGATTCTTTGACTTAGATCACTGATTATTAATATTTAACTGATATAAAAAAACTCGAATAGAATTCATAATATAATTTCAATATTCCATCGTATAAATGTTCTAAGACATCACTTAAATTCAGACTATTACTTCTTCTTCTATTAATTGACTTTATGTAACAATGACATATTTTTATATCTATACAAATTTTTATATTCATATACACTGTAAAAGATAAAATGTTAATTTTAACTCAAAGACGTTGAGTGGATTTTCTGAAACATGCAAAAATGTTAAAATTAACATTTTGTGTTGATCTTAACATTTTTGAGTGTCTCAGAAAGTTCATTATATATCTTTAAATTAAAATAAATATTTTATTTTTTACAGTGTAATATAAGTAACGATTTTACATAATGTAATGAAAATGTGAAATAGGACGATGTTCTCCTACAAAATGTAAAAATTTTATCTAAATAAATCTTAGAAGCTTAACTTTTTAGTTGTAAGACTAATATCAAAAAGATTCTTAATATTAATCAATAGTCGAAATACATCATGTAAATTAGATGTACTATTTCCATTAATCAGCACAAAACAATTATTCACCAAAAATTTTACTTGTTTTTATATTAACATATCAATAATTACAATTAAACGTATATTCAATGTTCAATTGTTAATCCTTTCGCGTAAAGAGGTAACTCGTACATTTGTTTCAGTCATGCCAAGCTCATCAAACCGAATCATGTTTATCGTGATTTTCGTTGTTCTCTGCTTTACGGTATCTACTGATGCCGAACGAAATATTGGTAAGTAAATGTCAACGTTACAATTACATCATCATATAAAAATTGTTGCCGAAATATCATTTTAATCTGTACAAACTGGCTTTGTACAGGTGTTTGCATACGAAACTGCGCGCAATGCAAAAAGATGTTCGGCATATATTTCATGGGACAAAAGTGCGCGGACTTCTGCTTGAAGTATAAGGGAAAGCACATACCAGATTGTGAGGACGAATACTCCATTCGTCCTTTCCTTCAAGCAGCAGAGTACGATTATTAATTCTCAAAATCGAGATAGGAACTCCTCGGTTTTCTCCTCTATTTTTATCTTCACGTTATATAACATTAAGCTACGTAAATTATATATCATAGGAATGCGAATTTTAACGTAAATTATTTTTATTTAAATTATTATTATTATATGCTAAAATATATCGTGATCAATAATACAGATTTACAATCTTCATCATAAAAGTTGTGAAGGCACGCACTATATGCAACCAAATATAATTCAAAAGTATGAATGAAAATATAATTTTGTAATGTAATACATTTTATAAATAAAATATTTTTTTAAACTAGATTTGTCAACATTGCAAACTATTAAAATTGATAACGATAAATGGAAATCAATATCTTTTTATAAAAATATTAATTAGCTAATTTTGAGTATTTAATCTTCCATGAATCATAAAATATATCGAATACTGTTAATTTTAAGTTTTGGATTTTATAAATCTATTACTATTGCAACATATCTGTTTTTCTCTTTTTTAACAATTGTTATATTGTTAGTATTATAAAGTGAATTGTGAATGATTATTTACAATAAAAGGATTGACTCGAAACATTTTTTATAAAGCTTCGATTTACAAAATTATGTTAATACACAGTAATCTCGTAGATTTTATTGTTATTATTTAGAAGTATAATAAGTTAACTTAAAAATCTAAAAATTGATATATTGAGCTCTATAAGCAAGCATATATTTTAATTAATATATATATTTATAAATCTCAATTAGATTAAATAATATTTATATCTGATATAAATATCTTTATTACATAAAGATACTTATATTAGATATAAATATTATTTTACTTCAAATATGAGATTTTTAGTCATAAAAAACACCGCTACATAATTCACTGTCTCAAAAATCTATTCAGTTATTTAGATTAAAAAATCGGCAATTGCTTGGAAAATTGTAAGGAAAATTAAATAATGAAATCATCAGTGTTAATTAAAAAACTTATATAGCAATCGATGGTATAATGTTGCAATACGTTTACTGGTTCAGATTTTAGTCAAATTCCACATGGTATAAGTTGAAACTCTGAAACATTCTGGGAATGTCTTTGGGACATAGGCCTTCAGGGCATGTATTGTGGAATTATTACGAAATAGATTCCGAAATTATTTTTTTTATAAAACATAATAGAAATATATAGAATTGAATAATCGAATAATTCTAATCAATATTCATTCTAAATAATTCTGTAATACATACCCGGAACGTCCTTTGGATATTTTTGAAGAACTGTGTTGTGTTAGGCATAATTTAATTATGTAGGTAAATTACCTACATCAATTAAAATTATTATATAAGATAATTCCATTCGTACTATTATTTAATAAACTTGACAGAAGTATAAAAAATAAGAAAAATTATATACGAATTGATATCGCATACTGTTAAATCTATAGTTAAATCTATAATCTATAGTCAAATTTAATGTGAGTCGTCACCATTACTCCTACTCCATTATATTGTTATTTCATACTAAAACAATTAATGATTATATTTGACATATTAGGTATACACTATACAGTATTAATTTGACACTATATAGTATTAAATTGATACAATATAGTGTCAAATTTAATTATCGTTTATTAATCTAAAATAACAATATATTGATTAGGGGCAGTGGCGACTCTTAGATTAAATTTTACACTATAGACTTAACAGTGCAAGCTTTCACATATGAATATCATAAAAAATTCCTTTTAATTAAATTTGTACTTGCGTAGAAGCGTAGATTTACTTTTTATACAGCGTGCTTATTATAAACTTAACTGAAAATTCTTTTATGTAACTGCGATTCAAAAACATTATCTTTGATACAACTGTAACGAAAACACAAAAAATAGCAACGTAGCTCATTACAGAATAGCATACCTGATAACAATCACGTATTACGCTTCCGTTGCACTATTTACTCTGGTTTCGGCGAATAAACGACAGCTAGCAGTATATATAAGAATCTCGATCTATTCTCAGTGCGCAGAGCATTGTAGAAGCGAATCGTTGAAGCCGAAATCGAGACGCCAGCAGAGCGATTGTGCAGTAACGTTTAATTCGTTTCGACAAACATTCGGCAGTTTAATATTTGTGATAACTTCACGCGCGAAATTTCTTTTAGACGAAAACAATCGTTTTTTGAGTATCACGAAAAACGATCACGAAAAACACAGGACCATTTGGACACAATTCCGTTATAACTACGCCATGTTTCCCGCGAGACGTGATTTGCCGCGAATGCGAATGGCGCGAATTGTGAGATCGAGAAGGCAGCAACATTCGATTATCGAAGTATCGAAACGCTCGAGATTGCGATTGGATCATGGATCCAATGGATGGATTGGATGGCATGGCAGTATTGGCAGTACGTCTGCTCGCGTTGCATAAATCTTCAAAAATTTTTCAATTTAAAATAAGATAAATATATATTATATATATTTAAGCGTTGAAAAAAGAAAAAACTAAGATGTTGAGTGCAAAAAAATGCGACAGATCTATTTATTTAGGCCCGATTGCACCAACACTAATAGTCATAATCGTATGTCGCAATTTGTACGAATTAATTAATTACAGTCGACCATTTTTCTTACAATCGAATAAGAAAATACTCGATTGGAAATTCTGTGATTGGTCGATTCTTACAGATTATAGCATACGGTTACCAGTATAAATGCACTTTTATTTTAACTTTAAAAACTTTCTCTATCTCTCTATATATTTCCCTATCTTTCGGTTTTAAAATAATAACAGAGAAATTCAATTTTCTATTTTAAAGTAAAAAGAGAAAGTGAGAGTTTCGCTTAAAGTCAAAATAACGTTGATGCACACAATCGGGCCTTAAATATTTGTTTTGCGGAGTAAATTGGAATTTTTTAATTTATGCACATATATGCGTATATGAACAAACCATTCATATCTAT